GCGTCAGGCTGAATTACCCACAAGTAGACTGAGAAATCTCTGGAGATAAACCTGTGAGGGAGTGAGCAGGCAGGTTTAGAAAGAAGCTGACACAATGCTATGGTGATTCAGGCCAGAGCCAGAGGATGAGGAGCTGTGGAGAGTGGGTGGCTCCTTAGGGTTGGCCCAAATTCAGGGAAGAGGGGAAGGGTTTCTATCAGCCAGAGTGAAGGATGTGGAAAATAAGCCCAAAGACTTTCCCCGCATCCATAGCTGTTCCCCCACCTGCTTTATGGGGGTAAAATTGAAGTTTTTCCCATTTAAAGGTCCAGACCTCAACCAGAGTTAAGGAACACCAAAGGAACTGATTGGCACCTGGACCCCCCCCCACACCCCCTAATGGGTCATCTGACCCCAATACTATAAGCCCCAGGTAATTCCCTATTCACATTCTTGTCCCATCCTAATGGATCTGCGGAGACCCCAATACAGTGAACCCCAGGAATGAACCCCGTTCTTTCCCACCCTGAAGGAGGCAGGCCTATATGACCCAGATCTTGCTTAGGGCTACCTCCGTTTTCTGTCCCCAAAATGAGCCATGCCAGGCATTCAACCCATTGATTCCTCACTCAATCCTGAATAAAGAAAAGCTTGCTGATCTGAAGTTTGCTGCTCATCTCCTTCATCATGGTGCCTCATTTGTGCTAACACAGAGGTTGGCTGCTCTTTGGGAAGGGGTGCACTGCTGGGTGGGGCAGATCTCAAGAGCTGTCATAAGAAAGTGGCCAAAGCCCTGTGCAGTGAGAGACTCAGCTGTGAGTGGTCAGAAACTATCTTTTCCAGCAGCTTAGAGTTGGAGGTGAATTCCTTGAAGAGAGACCCAGGACAGAAAACTACAGTATCTGATATCATGGCAAAGATCTTAAGTTTAATTTAGGACATTTACTTTCAGGTTCCTGTGGGTTTGGTTAGCTCCTGTCAACAATGGGATGTGCAAAGCATTGTGTATAGATGGAGCTGTTGGGATGCTAAGACACATGCATGGTGTCCAGGTGGTCTCTGTATCCCGTAAGATCCTTGAGATCCCTTCTCAAGAGGAACTCAATTCCCAAGTGCTGTGGGTCCTCTTCTTTTTCTGGTTGGTCCTCAAAGGATTAAGCCTGATGGCTCTTCTGTTTCTCAGACACCTTCCTAACGGCTTCTTTCTCTGTCCCTCCTCTTGGATTTAGAGGCTGGGAAACAAATCCAAACCCATTCCTTTTAGGGAAGCCCAGCTGTGATGTGAAATTTTACAAGGGTTAGAAAGTCTTACAAGGTTCTCAACAGACTCTTTCTTTGGGCCATAGTTTCTGAAGATGACTCTTAACTGCTATCCCAAACCTGGTACTTCTGGCTTTCCTTTAATTCCCCAAGGTTTTGCTTATGGAAATTATCCACTTTCCTTTGTCTCTACCCTCTCTTTCCTTGGACAAGGCCAGCTTCCCAGCATTTAGGCCTAAAGAGACAGCAGGAGGTAAGAATGAATGGATCCAGCCAGTAGCCAGGACCTAGGAGGTCATTCAAATATCCAGGGGCCTCCTAAATAATGCCCAACTCTGAGCCCAACCCCCACCCCTGCAGGTCTCCCAGAAAAAGTCCTTTGTGGGGTTTCCAAATTGAGGCTCAGAAAAGGAGAGGCAGTTTTGCTATAGAAAGTCTATTTATGAAATCACTAACAAAGGATAAGGCAAATTCTTTCCTCAGTCTATTTCTGGCAGGCCGGTAATAAATTAAACCTGGTTATGATTTCTTTCAAGGGTATGTTTTTGGAAATTTAGAAAAAAAATCCTAATTCTTTCAATAGGTTGATGTTTAAAAAGCCACTCTGCTGCAAATCTTGAAATTATTATTCTACGGTCAAACATTATAATAATTCCTTTAGAAATATGCTAACAAATTTTACATGTTAACCTCTCTATAAATACCTAGGCCTAGCTTGATTTTTAGCTAAAAAATGTGCAGTTCAAGTCTTGGGGCTGCTCAGTTCAGGAGTACTTTGCAAGGCCTTTGATGGTGAGATAAAGAAAAGCCTTTTCTTTCTCCACTGGCCCCCCCCCCCCCCCCYCCCCTTCAGGAACACACCTTTTGTGTGCTCTGCCTGACAAAGGAATTTCCCAATTTCATAGTGGAATTTGGAGGGAAAGAATGATATCGACATGCTTCTACAAAGCCGGCTTCCAACCACAAAAGACTTAAAAAAAAAAAAAAAAGAATCTGGGATTTTGCAATACTGATTGGAGGAATAACCAAGACATTGATAGTTAGCAATAAAAACAGCAACAACAAAATCCCAAAGGATTTAGAATTCCTTTAGTTTCTATTTGGCATGTGAATCATATGGTTTCTTTGTTCTGCCCTTCCCTATCTGGTACATTCAGATAATAGTTATATTTCATTTTTGTAGTCAAATTACTGTTTTATTGTTGTTCAAAGTATACTGGTACACAAGATAGCTTTGCATATGTAGAACAATACAATGAACCTTAATTTTTWAATATTTTTTATGGTAGAGAGGTAGTGTCTTTTTTTAAAACTTGGAATGAAAGCTTTTTCAGCTGAGAAATTCGATGATTTTTGCAGAATGGACTAAGATGGATGCTTTGCTTTTAACTGTTGAGTCAACCTGGCAAAGGAACATCTCTGAAATCCTTGTAAAGATAGAACTGAGATAATCTGCTAGAAATGATTATCTTTTACTTTTTGGTTGTTTGTGGAATTGAAAAGCAGAGGCAATGTTATCAGTTGCTGTTTGTGCAAATGAAGAATTGTGCTTTTAAATCAAATTTCCTCCAGACTACGGTTGATCAAAACATTGGGTTATACAGAGCTCTGCTCATACAGTATTTGACATTTTGAAGCCACAAGGCAGTTGTAGAAGACTCCTAATGATAAGCAATTCAGACTTTGATTTTGGGAGTACAACTCTTGTCACCATTCAAATGCTGCTTTGCTGTGCTTTCCCCTCAAAGAGAATGGGGGAGGGGCAACAGAGTTTTAAGTAAACAAAGATTCCAAATCCATGAAAGCTAGGATTTACTATGGCACGTAAATTATGAAATTCCATACATTGTAATATCCCCAGCGCATCAAGATTTCAAATGAGCAGGTCTTTGAATGCTCTTTAGTGCACATAATGTTTTTACATGCATATTAATAAGGGCCCACCTTTGGGAGAAGAAAAAAAGCCTTCTTTTCAAATGAAATCAAGCCCAGGTAAAGTTGAAACTCAACACACAGAGTAGTGGCATTGTTTTCCAGCTAAAAGAAGATGAGAGTTTCAATTTCATCATCTTGGAACAATGATAAATGTGCTGGCAAAATCTGCAGATTGTACATAGGTCTTTCTAAACGTGTGTAAATATGTAGCTGTGTATTCCAACTTCTGTGCAACTTCAATTTGCTGTTTGAAATTAAAGACAACTCTTCTGTGAGACAATAATTTGGGTTGTTTGCATGAGAAGTCCTAAAGAGCAAAAATGCTACTTGAAATTTACTTCAGTGTTAGAGAACAATGGCTTCCTCCATGAGAGTTAATGCAAGAGGGGAATACTGACATTTAGAATGAAACTTTTGTGCACACTTTGCAGACATTAGCCAATCAACATAATTTTAAATAAAACATATAGGAATACTTTCTATGCTGGGAGTCTTCACTGCTACTCCAGTCTATTAGTGTCTTCAGAGTCGGATCAAACAGGAGTGAGCCTTTTGGGAAGGTAATGGTGACATTTTTTCAGCTCCTTCCATTTTGTCCTATTTCCAGCGTTCAGCACAATTACTTTGACATGGGGGTTTGTCTCTCATTTTAAAATCCTTTCAATGGAGTACACGTCTGTGAACAATGTAGGAACCAGGGCACGGGGCTGGAAACAGCACACTTCATCTGGAATGGAAATACATTGTCTCGCTCTCGGATGGGCTCCGAGTATACCCCTCGTGGCCTTTGGTGGGTTTACGTATGTATCGTTTTGTGTTCTGTAAGCTATGAGCACCTGCTGTATGTACAATATGTGCTTGTTACATCTGAACACCATCTCCCTTCGAGAATTTAAAGATCCAGCTATTACATCTTGTTTACTCAATATCATTCCCCCATTTAAAAAAAAAAAAAAAACCTACATGAACTGAACATGCCATGTTTCAATCTGGCCCCAGTGGCTTTTTCTCTGAAAGCAAAACGTGTGTCTTTTACACCAGGGCTTTCTCCCCACCCCAGGGGGTGTCTTCCATTCTTTTGTGGCTCAGTTTAAGGCGAAAAGGGCTCCAAACCACTAACTAACCAGAGGAGAGCCCCTTCCTTCACCTCCAGGGAGGATTTCAGACTCAATTTATCCGAAGATAGCGTGCTCTCTTCTTACTTATTTGCCACCATTACGAGGAGAACAGAACACCACCTTGGCTTCAAGATCCTGGGTAGAGAGAGGCTCACGGTCTTTTTCAACCATCTTTGGCGAGGCCTTGCTTCCTTCCACTCGAGTAAGTTGCGGCTTGGGGCCATGGAAAGGACTGGGTGAGAGTCTGAAATGTCGTTTGAAAAAAAAAAAAAAAGCAGCCCTCCCTCCGGCCCCTCACCACCACCACCACCCGCTCTGCTCTCCGGGGCGAAGCTGCGAGGCGGCAGCCCGTAGGGGCGAGACTTGGCAGGTCTGCGGGGCGCCTCTCCGCCGCCGCGGGGCTCGGGCTCGGCAGCGGCCGGGCGTCGGCGCCCGCCGGCCGCGGGGCTTCGCGCTCCCGCCGCCGCCTGGCTCCCGAGTCTCCCTTCCCCCACGCCCCCTCCCCCTCGCCCGCGCTCCCTTTTGTTCGCTCGCCGCCCGGGCCGAGCCGCCGCCGCCGCCGCCCGGGCCCGCACCCCCAGCCGTAGGCCCCGGCGTGGCGGGCCGGCCGCCGCCGCCGCCGCGCGGCCTAGAGCGCGGCGCCCGGGGAGGCGCGGGGCCGGCCGGGCGCACGGCGAGGCCGCGGCGGCGGCGGCGGCGGCCCGGGAGCCCGGCAGCCGGGGCGGCGGCGAGGCCGCTGCACCGCACACGCACACTCAGACCCCGGCTGCGGGAATGCGGATGACACGCCCGTAACATGGAAGCCGCCGCCGCCGCCGCTCCGACGACAGCAGCCGCCGCCACAGCAGCAGCAGCCGCCGGCGGCGCCGCGCGGAACAAAGGTCATCCGAGCTGCGGCCCAGACGCCCGGGCTTGACCGCTGCGAAGGCCAACCCCGGGCCGGGGGTGGGTGTGCGCCTCTGCGGCGGGGGCGACCAGGGGGCGGCCGGGGCGAGCCAGGGGCGCGGGTGGGCGCCGGGAGAGGCGGGGGAGCCGCCCCTCGTGCCACCCCAGCGGGTCGGGGTGAGCGCGCGAGGCTCAGGCCCCTGGGCCTGACTGCAGTGGCCTGTCCCACCCTCGCCCTAGGGACAGCTGGCCTTCGCGCCCCGCCAGCTTCCTTGGGGGGCCGAGGAAGGGCCGGTTTTGCTAGGCCCCACCGGCTCAGAGAGGGGGCCACGTGAGCGCGGGCGCTCCCCCCACCTACCCAGCGCTGGCTGTGCCCAGATGATTTTTCCAAGGCCTCTGTGTCCCCTCTCCCCCACTGCCCCTTCATTGGCTCCCCCCACCCTCCTTAGACATCCCCAGAGTTCTACCCTGAGGTGAAGGGATTTGGACTTCTCCCCCCAGGTGCTTGAAAGAAGAGAAGGTTGGAGGAGGAGGAGGAGACTGGGGGGGCTGCTGGTGATGGTGACAGGGCTGGGAGAGAGAGGAGAGGGACGGAAGGGAGGAGGGGGCTGGGTGGGGTGGGGGTGACAGGCAGAGAGGAGCCTGGTCAACAAGCCAGCACCACTCTGCTAGGAGGCCAGGCCGGCTCCTGCAGCCGACGCATCCTGTGTGAGGAGACACACATAGATTGCTTTCTTGGGGGCTCTTTGTCAGCCACCAACACAGAGAACACACACTGACACACACGTACACAAAGATCTGAGCCAGGTTGTGGGAGGTAAGTGGGGGAAGGAGAAGGAGGGGGAAACAGTGTCTGCGGTGGGCTTGGGGTGAAGGGGAGGGGGAAAGAGCCCTCAGGGGCTCTGGGGGGCTTGTGAGGTGAGCATTTCCAAGGCTGTGTGCTTGTGTGGTGCGGGGGGACACACGATGACCTTCCCCTCCTCAGGAAGACCTAAAAGGGAGAGGCAACCCCCAGCGAGATCCCCCCTGTGCTGATGATTTTCAGGGACTTGTTGGCAACTCAGCGAGGGTTGCCATAGCTTTTTTATGTAGGGTGACCAGAACCGGCTGAAACTGGTTTGAGGCAGATCAGCTCCTGAACACAATGCAGTCACTGAGCTACTACAGTAGGATAGCAGCTTCCTCCCTTCATGGCAGCCAAAAGCAGAGGAGCTTGCAGGAAGGTGCCATCCCAACACAGTATGTGAATGCACACTTAGACACCACACAGCACTGGTACGTGACTAATGGAGCCCTAAAAGATCCTGTGTAGAGACGATGGAAAAAAAAGGTGCAGGTTTGCAGGGTCTGAGATTACTTGGGCTTTTCCTGCCTTTTTCTTTTGCTTAAGGGATGGACAAGGAGCTGAGATTTATGACCCTTATTAAAGAAAAAAAATGTGCCTTGCTAGGGTGGGGACACTTGGTTTGTGCAGTCTCTTCTCTGTGTTTTTAACAAAACAAAACCAGAGTGAACTGATGGATTTGTAATGGTAGTTTGTTTGTTGCTGGAGAATGCTACTTTGCATGCCTTTTTTCTCTTGCAGGGTATGTTCTGTTTTGTGCTTTTCCTTTTAGAAGCTACTAAAGGGTGTTGGGGATACTTCTGACTATTATGAAGGCCAAAAGGTAACAATATTGTTCTAGGAAATGAGCATAAATGCCTTCCAGTGATGCTGTTAGCCATACATGCTGTCTTTTTTTTTTCCTTGTAGGCCTGTTGACTGGGGCTGCTTTTAACCCTTTCATATTTGCAGAGAATGCAACCGAGTGACAGTAATTGAGCACTGGTCCAAAGTCTTACCAAAAGGTCAAGGTTCACAAGGTGAGATGTGCTGTTTTGAGCATGAATTTAAATATTAATTTACAGGTCCATTCAAACACAGACTGACAGTGGACTGGTACCCTGGAGATAAAATGGGGTTCATGGTGGAGAAGAAATACTCTTAATGTTATCCACATTTGATGGGATCCGAGTGACTTTTTGATGGTATTGCTATCAAGGTGAAATCTGAATGCCTTCATTAAATCTCGTGTGCCCTGGGCATTTGGAACAATCAGGCCTGGAAAGAGGCAAGTTTAGAGAATGGTAGGCGGCAGGGCCTTGTGGAGAATGCGCTGTTTTGCATTAGACTGAAGCAGTACACATGTAGCATTTTCCTGATGATGATAAGAAAAGGAAGGGCTTCACCAAATCGAGGCAGCCTGGCTACCTTTCTAGGATTTGAGGAGCCTGGAGGTAGATTCTCCTTTTGTTCATTCATCACCTTTCTTTTACCATGCTCTCAGTGTTAACCTGAAAGATTTTTCACTCCGAGTCAAGTGGTGGAATGTCTTATTGATTTTGGGGGCTGTCTACGGTGAGTTCGCCATTGGATTATTTGTGGCATACATTTTAATGTGGAATACTAATGCAAGACCAGGGGGAGACCGGGTAGTCTGGCTTCATCTGTGCAAAGATGCCTGTTAACTCTCAGCTCTACTGGAATGGGTGGTGGAAAATGTCTCATGCCTTAAAAGATTGCAGTTAGATTTGAGCTGGCATTTTCATGCACCTTCCCAAACCAGAGGTGGGAGAGGAGGGGAGAGGAGAGGAGAGGAGAGAGCAGTAAGGAGTGTAGCAAAGAGAAGAACAAAGGCTGTGAGGGGAACACTAAACATTTTGCCTTGGGGTTCCTTGTGAAAAGAACTGCAACTTCCCCAAACAGGAAACCAGTCGCTCCAGAGTTGGATCCGACATGATCTCAGCAACAGAACTGGTTCTGCCTTTCGGCTGGTCTGGTAAAAGTACAGTCAAGAGGAGCCCATAGGAGACATTGCAAATACATTTCTCCCTCATTTTGAAGTGGGTATCTCGTTCCTCTCTGTGTTCAGCAGAGCAGTATTTTCAGAAATGCCGAGAATCTTAGAATTGGTTAAGTTGTGTGCTGGCAGTTGGTGGGCAGCATATCTGCAGTGAGGGTGTTCAGTATGCAAGGGTTTTTATTGTTGAAATGTTTTTCATTTGGCTGCACAACATTGCCTGTCTGATAAAACTGGCAAAAGGGGAAACAGGAGTGCATGGTTAGCTTGGAATACTTTATGCAGTATTTAATACAGATAAATGTAATCTCGGACAGATATACCAGCAAATAGCTTACACGATGGAACAAAATTCTTTGCAAATCACTGTGCTAAAATTGGTTTTCAGTTCTACCTCATTTTCGACTGCCAGAGGTTCTGTGGATGACTGTGGCAGAAATATGCTTGCAAAGCAGATCCGAATCCATGTTGCATGATATGCTGTTCCTGCGTTTCTGGTGCCAACTAAAACTCAGATGGCTAATATGATAAACCTTAATTAGCTTAATACAATAAGCTGTTTTATCATTTAGTCCTTCATTCCTGTCTTTCTGGAGTCAGTGATTTTTATTTAACTTTGACAGCTCACTCCTTGTAGTGGCTGTTTCTTGAGAATATATTTAAAAAACCTTTTTTGGGCACTGCATGTCGTGGAATGTTCTGGTTTACTCTCTTGGTGGTTTTTAGCTTTGTTCCTCCCCTCCCCCCAGAAGTCTCCTGAAAATAGCATTTGTTTTGCATTTAGGCCAGTCTTTCCAGCTGCAAATGCTGCTTAAGGTTGGAGAGCTGGTTCTCCAGGGCAGTGATCATGAGCTCATCATGGACGGGGCTTGCCTCAGGTGTTGATCTCAGGCTGGGGTATAACAACCTAGCAGGCCCAGGCCTCCAGGGAGAGGTTCCCAGCGTGCTTTGGAGAATATGTAAGGGCATGTTCCTTCCTGGGAGAGCCAGGAGGGAACACCCAGGCACCCACACTGGGGGCGGGGCCTGTGCTGGAGCTGGAGCCCAAGCCTGATGCCTGGTTGGGGTTGCCTGCGGCAGTCTCCCAGGAGGACCTTTGGGCCATCTCCTTGCAGCAGGGCTGTGTGGGGTGGGCCCAGCCATACACTGGAAAAAATGTGTAACTGGGTGTTGAATCCTTGATTATTTTTATCATCTGCCTGAAATTTAGAGTCACATTTTCCAAGTTAAAGAACACTGGATCCAGGACTTTTAGAACTCTCAGCTAACCTGGTTCAGGAACACTGTCTCTCTTCCTCATTCAGACTCCCCACCCCCAGTCATTTTTAAGGGAGGTCTAGGAAGGAGGAACCAGCATGTAAGTGGAATTTTTTTGCTCCTACCTTTGCTTGGACGGTTGGAATGTTAGAATCTGTGTTCTCTACCCCCCTCTATTTCTTCCCTTGAACTGCACTCCGGGGCTTTGCTCTGGAGTGCAGTTTGTCTGCAGGTTTTGAGCAACCTTTCCCATGTTCTTGGTAGACCGCCACCTCACAGCACACAGCTGAGGCGGAGGTTGCCTTTGATGAGGAACCTTATAAAGGATGCCAGTGCAAGGGAAACCGAAAAGATCTGCAATACATTAGGGGTGGCGCCTTCCTCATCCCTTGAGATCCCTTCCTAATCCTGTATTGCAGGATGAGAACAGCAGCAGCCGTGATGGACCTTACAGAAATCCACACCTTTGTGTTAATTATATTTTAGGGATGATCTTTAACCAAGTCATGATTGAAGAGTTAACTCTTACTAGGCATGGTGGCACATGCCTGTAATCCCAGCTGTTCCAGAGGCCAAGGCAGGAGGATTGCAAGTTCAAGGCCAGCCTGGGCAATCTATTGAGATCCTGTCCCAAAACAATAATTTTTAAAAAGTGATGGGGATGTAGCTCAGTGGTAGAGCACTTGCCTAGTATGCTCTAGTGAGGCCCTGGGTTCAGTCCCCAGTGTACTTAAAAAAAAAAAAAAAAAAAAAGAAAAAGAAAAGAATAAACTTTAAAATTTTAATTTACATACAGTGAAATCCATTAACTCTTTGGGTTTTGACATGTATGGAATTATGTATGTACCACTGCAATCAATGCAAAATCATTCCATCACACCAAAATTTCCTTCTGTTGCCCACCCATTTGTAACCAGACTTCTTCCACTTCTGTTCCTGCAATCATTGTTCTCTGTCCCCATTGTTTGGTCTTTTCCAGAATGTCATACAAATAGCTTCTTTGACTTAGCAAGATGCATTTTGATTGCCGAGTAGCGTTCCACTGTATGGATATACCACAGTATATTTATCCACTCAGTGGTTGAAGGATATCAGAGTTGTTTCCAGTTTTTGGTGATTGTGGGGGGGGGGGGAAGCAGCTGTTGTAAACATTTGTGCATAGGTTTTCATGTTAACATCGTTTGCTTTTTGCTTTTTTGAGACTAGGTCTTACTATATTGCCTAAGCTGGTCTTGAAGTCCCTGAGCTCAGGTGCTCCTCCTGCCTCAGACTGCTGAGCATGAAAATAGTTTCTTTTTCTTTTCTTTTCTATTTTTTTTTCCAGTGTGGGGATATTGAACCCAGAGCTTTGCACATGCTAGGCAGCTAGGCAATTGCTCTACCACTGAGCTATATCCTAGCCACACGCATAGTTTCTCTTTCTCTTCTGTAAATACTTGGTTGGGTCATATGGTATAGACATAAGAGAGAGGTTTGGATGAAAATAAATTCAGCTCATCATAACTCACAGAAAAGATCTGGCCTTGACAGCTGTAGTTAAGATTTCTAAGAGATGGTGGTAAACATTAAAGACATTCAGGAGATGATCCTGAGAGAACACTCTTTAATAGGATGACATGCTTTATAACCCTGAACTAATCGGAATTAGCCAAAAGTGGAAACACAAAACTCCAAGTGGTAAAATATCCTTTATTTCCTCCAGCAATTGTTTTTAATCTCTTCAGAAACACTTGGCAGTTTAATTTCTACATTTGTCTTTAGGTTCCATAAAATACAACTCAATAATAGAGTTGAAATTTTGGAAAGTGATTCCAGAGATTTTTGTTGAGATCTTGKTTGTGTGTAAACAACTACTTAATTATAATTTGATTTAGACTACAGCTAAAATATTGGTGGCATTCTAAAATTTGAAGTCATTGTTGTGCTTTGATACCTTGTAAGGAAGTAAAAATATTTAGGCACTATCAAGGCAATGAAGAGGGGAGATTTGAAAGGAAATAAAACAACTTTTAGCATCAAGAAGAGCAAATAGAGGTGCTGGTGGCATAGAGCAAGGAGGGAAGCAGCAATGTTAATTTGAGGATGCTTTCATCCATTTAACAGACGCTTCCTGAGTGTTTACTGAGCACCAAGCATTGGTTAGGTCTTGGGAATACAAAGGGAAAAGGAACAATAGAGAAAAATCTAGTGTGGGAAGTAACCTACAGATAGTAATGTGAATGGCAGTCCAGTGCCAAGGGTCAGGGGAGGACCTCTGAAGAAGCTGCTTCTCAGCTGAACCAGGCAGGACCAGTGAGACCAGCAAGGCCACAGCTCTGGGAATAATATGCTGGGCAGAGCATGTGAGTGGAGGGAGTAGCCATCGGGAGGGAAGGGCTTAGTCTACCAGTTGGGTTTGGGTCCCACAGTCAGTGCATCTGGGAGGCAGTCAAGGGACAGACTGAAGAAGGTTTTTATGTACAGCCCCTTCGATTGTGGATTTCTTTATATAGCTAGTATTGGCAGGAGGACATCCTTCATCACAAAGATCCTGTGGCAGCACATTGGAAGATGGAGTGGAGGCTGTAGAGGCTCGAGGCAGGGAAGTGAGATGAGGGGACCACTGCAGGAGTTTGGGAGAGAGAAACCACAGAGATCTGGGGTGTTGCTTGTGGGGTAGGTTTTGGCTGCACAAGGGGCCAGGGTACCCAACTAGATGTTGGGAGTGATGGGAGAAGGAGGGATGGAGGATGCTGCCAAGGTATCTCCTGTGGTTATTTGGCAGCT